GCATTTGTTTATGTTGTACAAACGTCATCACGAGTTGCAGTCAATTCAATGGCAAATAACAACAACATTGCTATTACAGGTCATCCAGGAGAGCACTTTTTGCTGCAGAAATCTTTTCTCTTTGTTAGCAATCCTTAGTCAGCAGTCAGGTGGCCACAACGAATGGTGAAAACCACCTGGTTGGAGCAGCCTTCATTTAAATATAGCAACAAGGAATGTGCCCCTTGTCTACAACGGAGGTGGAGGTGGATGACACGCATCATTTAGTGTCTAGCAATTGGGATATACTTTTCACTTAAGATCTAGGAAAACATTTTTTCTTCTCCAACGTTTTCCACAGGGCTTGTTTGATCTCTTTGTTCCTCAAGCTGTAAATGAGAGGGTTCAGCATGGGGATTACCAGCGAGTAGAACACAGATACCACCTTGTCCCTGCCAAGGGAGTAGCTGGAGCTGGGTCGCAGGTACATGAAAAGGGCGGTCCCAAACAAGAGAGTTACTGCCATGAGGTGTGAGGCACAGGTATTGAAAGCTTTCCATCGGCCTTCTACTGAGTGGATTTTCAAGACAGCAGCTATGATATAACTGTAGGAGATAAGAAGGATGAGAAATGATGTCCCCCCAGCAAGGACCACTACGAGGAAATTTACCACTTGACTTAGAAAAATATCAGAGCAAGAAAGTGCCAGGACTGGTGGGAGGTCACAGAAGAAATGGTTGATGATGTTGGGTCCACAGAAGTGGAGCCGGAATATGGAGGTGGCCTGGATGAGGGAACTCAGGAAACCACCCACGTATGCTCCAACCACCATTCGGGTACAGAGGCCCGGGGACATGACGGCAGTGTAGAGCAGGGGCTTGGAAATGGCTGCATATCGATCATAGGCCATAGCAGTCAGGAGGAAGCACTCAGTTAGACCCATGCCAACAAAGACGAAAAACTGAGCCGCACAGCCCACAAATGATATGGTCTTCTGCTCTTGGAAGAAGTCAATGAGCATCTTGGGAGCGACTGAAGAAGAGTAGCAGATATCAATGAAGGACAAATTGCTGAGGAAGAAGTACATGGGTGTGTGCAGATGGGTGTCGGTTTTGATCAAAATGATGAGGGTCATATTCCAAGCCAAAGTGATGAAATAGATGCCCAGGAAGGTCACAAAGAGCAGGGCTTGAAGTTTTGGATGGTCTGCAAATCCCAGAAGGATGAACGTGGTCACTGATGAGCTGTTTAAGGCTTTGGCTCTGGACATGTTTCTGAAGGGTCGGAAGGACAGCA